CATGAACATTTATTGTGGGAATTTACAGTGAATTTCACAAAACCATGAACATCCATTGTGGGAATTTACAGTGAATTTCACAAAACCATTAACATTTATTATGGGAATTTACAGTGAACTTCACAAAACCATGAACATTTATTATGGGAATTTATAAAACATTTTGGAAGGTTCTCACAATTTGATTGGCTAGAGAAGAACTTAATAATATATTTTACCCACGAGTCTTCGCATTTTTCTCCCAGTTCAGATTCACACAAAAGATAGATACAAGCAACATATACAATATATTTCAATTGCAACAGATTGTATACTCACTGCAATTTGGTACTGATCATTTGAATTAAAAAAATAACAAATCTATTTTTTGGTAGCAGGTAAATTGTTGAGATTGATCAAATTGTGAAATTCTATATGGATGGAATCCAATCGTTAAGACATTGTGATTAGGTCCAGTTAATTTTCAACACGATTTGAAAATATATTGGTATCTAAATGTTTTATATAAAAAAAAATTCATGGCTTTTTGAATTTTAGTGTATCATGTGTGTTTAATATTGAATTTTTATTAACACATAAAACCAAAATTATGAGGAATCATCCAATCCGATCCGATCCGATCCGATCTAAACTAAACTAAACTAAACTAAACTAAACTAAACTAAACTAAACTAAACTAAACTAAACTAAACTAAACTAAACTAAACTAAACTAAACTAAACTATTAAACTAAACTAAACTAAACTATTTTGAGCATGTGCTGATAATGAAGGAAATACTCATAATAAATACTGCTACTGGCAAAAAAATGGTCAGTAAAAAGTAATAAACCTTTTACAATCAGAATAAAAAGCTGACATTGTTGTGCAGCTCACATTCAAATTTAATTCAACTTAATTAAATACACAGACCTGCACATTCTCATGAATAACGTAGACCATGTAATCTTCTTTTGATAAATGCCTTTCAGCACTCCTAAAGGTGTATCATCGATAACATCAAGAAAGTCCATCTCTTGACAATTTTGAGCAGTGATCCAACGAAAGACCAATCGTACCTTCTGCAGTTCTGATTTAGCTGGATCTACAAGAACATCAACCAGTGAAGCAAATGTTGGTTGCACAACGAGATTTACCGTCTGAGCACACTGCAAGAAGGAAACAAAGAAACTTAAGATATCATGGTAACTATGCATGCATGTAAAAGGACTCACAAATACATGTTTACTGAAGACAACTTATTTTACAGAGATACTCAAATCCTGTACACACATTTACAGAGATACTCAAATCCTGTACAACAATTACAGAGAGACTCAAATCCTGTGCACACATTTACAGAGATACTCAAATCCTGTACACACATTTACAGAGATACTCAAATCCTGTGCACACATTTACAGAGAGACTCAAATCCTGTACACACAATTACAGAGATACTCAAATCCTGTACACACATTTACAGAGATACTCAAATCCTGTACACACATGTACAGAGATACTCAAATCCTGTACACACATTTACAAAGATACTCAAATATTGTACACACATTTACAGAGATACTCAAATATTGTACACACATTTACAGAGATACTCAAATCCTGTACACACATTTACAGAGATACTCAAATATTGTACACACATTTCCAGAGATACTCAAATCCTGTACACACATTACAGAGATACTCAAATCCTGTACACACAATTACAGAGATACTCAAATCCTGAGCACACAATTACAGAGATACTCAAATCCTGTACACACAATTACAGAGATACTCAAATCCTGTGCACACATTTACAGAGATACTCAAATACTGTACACACATTTACAGAGATATTCAAATCCTGTACACACATGTACAGAGATACTCAAATCCTGTACACACATTTACAGAGATACTCAAATCCTGTACAATAATTACAGAGATACTCAAATCCTGAGCACACATTTACAGAGATACTCAAATCCTGTACACACATTTACAGAGATACTCAAATCCTGTACACACATTCACAGAGGTACTCAAAAATTGTGCACACATTTCCAGAGATACTCAAATCCTGTACACACATTACAGAGATACTCAAATCCTGTACACACAATTACAGAGATACTCAAATCCTGTGCACACATTTACAGAGACTCAAATCCTGTACACACATTTACAGGGATACTCAAATCCTGTACACACATTTAGAGAGAGACTCAAATCCTGTACACACATTTACAGAGATACTCAAATCCTGTACACACATTTACAGAGATACTCAAATCCTGTACACACATTTACAGAGATACTCAAAATCCTGTACACACATTTACAGAGATACTCAAAATCCTGTACACACATTTACAGAGATACTCAAATCCTGTACACACATTTACAGAGATACTCAAATCCTGTACGCACATTTACAGAGATACTCAAATCCTGTACACACATTTACAGGGATACTCAAATCCTGTACACACATTTAGAGAGAGACTCAAATCCTGTACACACATTTACAGAGACACTCAA